ATATGGATAGAAACTAATGAAAGATCAAACAGAAACCCAAATCGATATCAAGATCATGAGGTCTCTCCAATCGATGAAGTACCCGATATTTCGCAACTTGGATTTGGGAAGTCGAAAGAGAGGACGGATTCCAGGTTGAAGCCACCATCGAGCAATATTCCTGTTATGCGAAGAGAAAAGAGGCGAAACCAAGTCGCAGCAGTAGCAGCCAACTTATTGAACCGCAAAGATGTCGATGGACCAAAAGGTAGAAGAACGGCAGATGGAAAATGGGACCCATATTCTAGTGAACAGACTACAAGCGAAAAGGGAAGGTCGCAATTCGTCAAGCCAGGAGAATATTCACCACCTTACTTGGGAAATGTTAGACAAATGGGGAATACATCAATCATTAGCGCCGGTCCGCAGAAACCCCAAAACCAACCATCTTTTGGAGAGCGTGTTCGCAAATTGAAGAATAATGCGCCGGTAGAGAAACCAGAATGGAAGGGGGCAACAGGACGTTCAAAGATTGTACCCACACCTTCAGATGATTACACTATACCTCCACTTAATATTCCAATTCCAATTCCAACGAGGAGCGAAAAGCGCATTACATCAGGCACAAGTACCCCTGTATCTTCCATCCGAAGTGCAAATAGTGAAACGGCGGCGGCACCAAGCTTCATGGATCTACCCGACCCAGTATCTATCAATGCAGGACCATTGTTCAGCGGCCAAAACAATCCACAAACCTATAACGAACCCTTAATTCAAAACCTCGAACCCATTCATGCGACTCACCTTACAAATTTCGCCAACGATATTACTACAGAATCCCCTACCGCATATTATCCTTCTCATTCTAAGACAGATTCCACAGGAACCATTGAACGAAATTTTCGAGAAGCTCTTAAGAATTCTTTTCCTTCCATCGATCCAAACGAACCTTACGTCCAACCACCTTCTCGCTTTAGTGTCAGTACAAAGGCTACTTCAGAAGCCACCCAATCTACCAGAGCACCCTCACTTGACATACAAAACGAGATGCATCCTCCACTCCCAATTCAATCCTATACCATGACAACTCAAGGACCTACTTCAATACTATCTCGAAAACGTCCCAAGGTCATGGCTGACGATAGCGCATCTATTTATTCTACGAAGAGCATTACTCGCAAAGCTATTAACTCCAATAGTCCAATAACAATCTCCATGACTTCTTCTCTTCCTCGCGAACACAATCACCCACCGCGCTCTTCATCCACTGTCACAAAATCTCTCCCCAGCACCCCTGCCGAAAGCGCATCCTCTGATCCTATATCTACTCTGGAAGCGCGTCTCGAAGCTCTTACACATCGCCGACAGAATATTGAAAAGTCAATTAAACAGATGACGGAACTCATGCCAGCGGATCGCATGATTGTTACGGAAGAAGTGAGGAGGAAGAGGGAGACGGAGAAGAAGCAAATTGAGAAATTGAGAGAGGAGGAAGCGGAGATTAGGAAGGAGGAACATGAGTGTGGATTGAAACTACACAGGGCGTGGAAGAGGAAAGATAAGCAAGCGGGCTATGAGGAAACAGGATTATGGGTTAGGAGAGTTACTGGTTAGGCTGTGGAGTTTGACCTAGCAGAGATGGAAAAGAGAACAATTGGTTTTTATGGCGCAGAAAATACCAAATGGCAAAGCGAGGCAACTAGGAGTTCGGTAGGCGCATATGTAGGGTATTTTTCGAGAGGATGGATGGATCGGTTTGGAGTTAGGGAAAATTCCACCCGTTGCATTGGATTTACATGTCCAAAAGATTACGTGGACTTTTTTTTAATGGCGCATCATATCATGTTTCATTTTATTTCATAAATCGGATTTGGAGATGTAGATCTATTCAGCTTCTCGTTGATCTCTAAATCTTGCTCTTGAGGAGAATTTCTCTCGGAATCTCGCATTTGTATCATAAAATACCAAGTGATTTATTTGGTTTATTAAACTATGAAATCGACATTGCATATCCATTAATTTCCTATACTTTGTTTGCAATTGAAGAGGCTGTGTATTCTCGCTGTACATGGATTTGTATCAAGAATATATCATTGCGTTCTTGGCACAGATCACTTTATTATTACTCACGCAAGTCACAGAGTAGCGATCGCTCACTCGTCATTCAAATTACCGGCCCGGCGAGCTTCCGCGGAGCTGGAGCATGTACTTGCTCCGGGTATTTTCACGTGATCCACGGACGATCACCTATCGTATTCCCCGCGAATTCCGAGCTGATGTGAGCTCGAAGCTTCGACTTTCCAATTCCTAATTTGAAATTTGAAATCATTATTTGGGTGTTCAACGTTAATGAACATTGTGTTTTGTTGGTTTCAATTTCAACTTTGAGATTTTGTTTGAGATTTTGAGGAAGAGCTTGTTGAGTGTGGAATTTACGGTTTGCTTTTACGGTTATTTATTGTATTGCGGTGAACGACTTGAGATATACAGCAAGCACGAGAGAATATTACGACTACTGGTTCTTGAAGAGAGAGATAGGATATCAGAAGAGTAATCATGGATTATGTTGAGAAGAGAATGGCTGCTGGTATGTTCTTTATGGATTTTATTTCGTGTGCTGTGTTGTTAGAGAGGAGATGAATTGGGAGTCTCTTTCATGTTTGAGATTCGGTTGAATTGATGAAATCGTTTCATTCATGTCAAGGCATATGAGTATGGAATCAAAACGCTAATAATCATATCAATACAGAAGCCCAAAGACCTGCCGGTGCAGAAGTGTAAGTTACTCCCCGTCTCAAAATTCCACCCCATCAAATCAGCACACCAAACAAATCCCAAACCCTCACTAATACTCCCCAGCGCCAGCCTAGCCACTCCAATCAACCTCCTCCTCCTTAGTCTCCTCGCCCTCCTCACCTACACAACCTTCCGTCCAAAAAAGGCCGACCCCATCCCCAGCGCTCCCTCCCCCATCGTCTTCCGTACCTTCACACCCCCGGAGCTCGTCCCCTTCTCCGGCCTCAACAACACACCCGTGTATCTCTCTGTACGCGGTCGCGTCTTCGATGTTAGCAATGGAAGGAACTTTTACGGACCAGGTGGACCGTATGAGAATTTTGCCGGGAGAGATGCCAGTCGGGGGTTGGCGAAGGGCAGTTTTGATGCGGAGATGTTGACGGAGGATTTGCAGGGGGAGTTGGATACGCTGGAGGATTTGGATGCGGAGGAGTTGGATGCGTTGAGGGGGTGGGAGGAGAGGTTTGAGGAGAAGTATTTGGTGGTTGGACGGTTGGTTAGTTGTAAGGAGAAGGAGAGGGAGGACAGGGAGAAGGCGGAGAAGGCGTAGAGAGGTTTGGGATAGTGAGTGTAGGGTGGGGGATGGGGGTGGATATATGGGGTTGGGGTTTGCGGTGGAAATGTGAGATGTGGATGTTTCTGCAGAATGGAATCTTGAAGAAAAATATCACAAGTCAACTGGTCAACTCTGACTGCATGGTGGTTATGAGTATCATTCATTCACACATACATAAATACGGGTGGTATATCTACACATCGAAGCGAGAATAACACACAGATTCCTATACTATGATTGCTGCATTCCTTCATTTATCTATCTATCCATTCATCAATGATAGTGTAATATCCATACCTAGAGTACTTCAACCCATCAACTACATCTATCTATCTATCTGTCTGTCTGTCTTTCTGTCTATCTATCTATCTATCCATCTATTCATTTCACCCCCCCCCTCCCTACCCCAAGCATCTCTATCCTTCTTCACTCTTACACAACGCCCAATATCTTGATAACAACTATGCAAGTGAGGAGTTGTGAAGTATTAAGTACTATCTATCTGGATATCTATTATCTTTATAGTTTTTGTAATTCTTTTTTTCTAAAAAAAAAAAAAAAAATTAAATAAATACTCGGCTCTCTTGTGATTTAATTTTTGATATTGGGTTTTGAATATTGGGGTTGGAGATTTGGGGGTTGGGAGATTGGGATTGGGAGATTGGGATGGGGAGATTGGGATGGGGAGATTGGGATGGGGAATTTTGAAGGGGGGGGTTGTGAAGGGGGGGGATTGTGAAGGGGGGGGGGTTGTGAAGGAGGGGGATTGTGAAGGGGGGGGATTGTGAAGGGGGGGGGAGGAAAAGGGGGGAAGAAAAGGAAGGGAGGATGGTTGAGGGTTGGATTGAGTAGTGGCATAGATGAACAGATGCATGAATTTGTGGATGGGAACTAGCAATAGATTTGAAGATTGGAGAATAGTTTTATGTTCCTATTGAGAGGTAAACTGTAGAAAATGGGGGGTTTGAGTACTAGGTTGTGAGAGAGTAAGTGGAGAAAGTGAGGTGCGGTGAGGTGAGTTGAGGGGAGGGGAGGGGAGGGGGATAAATGTGTATTTTTATTGGATATTGCATATTGGATGCTTACTCATTCATTCGACTGGCGAAGAAGAATTTATGAGGAATGGGAGAGGTGGAAAAGAGATGAGAAGAGGAGGGAAGAGAAGAGTGTAGCAGGGGGAGAAGAGGGGTAGCAAGGGGAAGGTATTTGTGAGTTATGAGATAGAAGGGGATTAAGAGGATATTATGTGATTACTAAGTCATTGAGTATGAAACTTTAGTTTTTGGAGTTGGAGTTGGAGTTGGAATTGAAGTTGGAATTGAAGATGTTGTGATGTTTTTTTGAGTTTCACTTTTAATACTCTAACGGGTTTCTAGATCGTATAGGTGTATTCTGTAAATGGTGTTTGTATGTGCATGAAATGTTAATTTTTACTACGTTTTGTGTGTGATGTAAAAGATATGGTTTGGAATTTTAGATGATGTTTTTATTTTCTATTCTTGGGGTGGGGGATTAGGAGGGGGGGATGGATTTGGAAATGGATGAGAAATGTGAGAAGGACAGTATAGCTAGTATGTGACATTATATTATATATATATTAATTAATCTTATTAAATCAATCTTACACCAAGACCCCCCATTTCACGATTCTCCCCCTCGCTTAACAGCTTCAATTCCCACTCCCACTCCCACTCCCACCTCCACCCCCATTCCAAACCAACACACCCTGAACCACCTCACCCTCCCTAACCATCTCCTCCATCAACGATCGACTCTCCAACATCCACTTGGCCCAGGAACTTTTCACCCCCTCTCTAAACCCCCACCACGTCACTTTCGCACTCCCCAACCCTTCATGCGCAAGTAATTCCTTCATATACTCCCAATCACGCAAAGTCCACATCTCCCTCGATGTCACTGTCGATCTGCGTGCTTCCCCCACAGCATCCCCATCTATCGATATCGCCTCTCCCATCTCGCCAACTGCAGAACTATCCAGCAATTCTTCCCTCCACGGATTTCCCCAAACCGTCAAATCCACATTCTTCAATCCCAATAATTCACGCGTGATGAATGCACAAAAATTTCCCCATACCACATCAATACTAGCACTAACACTAGCAGTCAACAACTCCGGAACCTCCCTCGCAATCTTCAAATTTCGAACCCATCCCCGCGCCCCCTGACTTCTATCCGACCAAAAAGGCTGTACCGCTTCGATGTGCATACCGAAATCCCAGATGCTATTTCCATTTCCATAAAGCACTTCTTCGGCTTCTTCTTTGGTTTGTGTGCAGACGCTTAGGATGCGCGTGTGGATGCTGGGATTGGGATGGTCGGTGTGGGAATTAGCCGAGAGGACTTTGTAAGTGGTGAGCTTTTCGGGGGTCTCTGGAGATAGGGGGTAGAATGATTGGGCTGCGCAGAGAGGAAGACATTTGGGTGGGAAGTAGTATCCATTATGTGGAATTTGTGTTGTGATTTTATGATGTCGAGGTGGGAGGAGGAGAAGATAGATTTTCAAACGGATTTCGATAGGTAAAGATAGAAAGGGGAATGATGGGTTGGCCATTGAATTGATCTTGTTGATTGGCGAGGAAAAATCATGTGATGAATACTCAGATAGAGCTAGCGTATCCACAGGGCTGAACGACATGGATTCTCTCGAGTCTGTATCCCTGTTTGATTGTTTCGAAGAATTACAATTGAAAGGATATGAAGTAGGATAAAGAATATCGACATCGATATTTCGACAATTACTTTTACATTGCTTTATGTCTTTATTCTTTTGAGCGTAGAAAATATTCATGGATAAGGTGGATAACTCCGGATACCTTGATGGGTTCTCGAGAAGATAGGACTTGGATGTCATTTTCGGGTAATGCAGGGGCGGAATACCGGTGAAGTCAACAAGGGGTATGATGTCCGGATTGGCGGGTTTTGGAATTTTGAGTGTTTTGAGTTTGTCGGTGTATCTAAAATGGAATATATTGAAGTGTTGCTTTCGAAGATTTGTGATACGTTCAGTGTTTCACTACTACTGATAACAGTCTCGAGCCTATGTGAATTTCGCATTGATATATTAGGAAACTTTAAACTAATATTGCACAATAATATTGATAGATATGCGCCTAATTATTTGGTGAATAGGGGTGTCGATTTGACGTCCTAAAATGTGATCTCTTATGTGTGTTGAGATAAAAAAAAAGATGACATGAATAAGTGAAGAGTAGTAAAGTGAGAAATGTTCTATATTAATGAAAATCTAACTGTTTATATAGAGGCACAGCCGAGCCTGGACACCACGTAAGGAATATACATTTCTCTGATGCATAACACAAAGAGACGAATAAGAAACCAATAACTTGTTTGTACCTCGAGAAACGGAAGTATAACCAGTTCATCCGGAGTGATATCTGACAGCATGCGGCTGAGGATGACACTGCATGACTGTACCAAAATGTCCAGAGATCAACGTCAAAATCTGACCTCTTTCGTACAACAATGCTTACACCGTAAACTAATACCAAGGACATGCATATACTAATTATACACCAATTAGTTCTCGTCGCAAGTACTCGGCAAATCCATTCATGATTGAAGCAGAGAATGCGACAAAAAGAGCCATAGATGAAGAGTGATTTGACGAGGGCATAGATTGCATCTCAGAGGTGATCTCCAATTTCTGGATACCTTTGATTTCCAACAATTGAGAAACCCATACCAAGTGTTCGTTTGAATGAGTTGTCAAAGTCTTAAACTCCGATGATGTGTATTGCCTCGTTTCCCGTTCGCCTCTTGGTTGTCCTCCCTCGACGATTAATTTCAATCCCTTTAATTGCATGTGATCTCTTAAAAATTTACAAAGATTGTTCCAATCGCATCGATTTGATTCGAGAGAAAAGATGAAACCTTGCTTGAAAAGAGATATCTCTTGTACTAAAGGCCGTGTACCAGGATTTAGGTCGGAAAAGAAGGGAACAATGGCCTCAATGTCCTTGTGAAAACTGAATGCTCGATTGCAATACAACATTGGTAAAGTTTCCTCATATATCTTGCGATTGACTCTCATGATAGAGGTGTGTATATCGACGGCAGTGCATAGTTCATATGTCGTCTGGAGTCGTTGTCGCAGAGGAGAGAAATCGACACTGTAGGAAGACCGTAGGGAACGACAAGGTCCGTCATGACGTTGGCCATAAGCATATGGTTTTTGGTTGCGGATTTCGAAAATTTTGTTGTTGTAATCGTTGAAGAGGTATTCGTATATCATAACCCTGATTTCTGATGGCATACTCATGAGCGCCGAATGGGGTTTGACGTCTGCCATGGCTAATTTCAATAAGTATCCGTGAAGCTAGAGAGAATGTCGACTTTTTTGTTGAAATCGAGGAGTGTTGTTTGCATATCCTGAACCAAAAACCATTTTCCCAATTAAAGATTAGAGTGGTTGCTGGACGAACTAGGAATATCCATCAAGGTTCTTCTTCTTTCCGTCCAACGGCAGAACCTGGAAACACTGATTAATGTGATCAATATGGCTGCGTTGAAGGTTAGTGGATTCAAAAGAAAAAGTCCTTTGAAACGAAATGCTGAATCGTGTGTGCAGTGGTTCTTTATTAGTATAGCAACTCAAAGGTAGACCCGAGTCGACTCAAATCATATCGCCGAAAAAGAAACTAGAATATGGAAGACAAGTCTATCACCTAGCATGATGCCATGATACCATGATGGCGATTCATGCTGCTAACAACTTGGGCAGTTCTTCGGCCAAATCATCAACGGATTGATGAATTGGTTTGGAGTGTTATGACCCTGGTGTAGTTTCCTCGAGTCCTCCTTGTAGGGACAGCAGTTGCGATAACATACTGCTAACGCTTTGAACACTCCTGCACGATTAATCAGTGTGTATGGAGGCCCTTGTAAAGGGTTTTCGTGCGTTCAAATTTCGGTGCAAAAAGTATCAATTACGATCAAAATGCCGAGAAAATTTTGGGATGGAAAAATCGCATGCGTTTATCGGAAAATTGTCGGGTCCTTTTTCATGAGTCGGTCTGAGTCGGTGTCGGTTACTTGATTGATTAGCCAACCATCATTTCAGGGGATGACCACCCAACAACTCATGATCGATAGATGATTAAAAGTCTTTTCAAAGCTGTTCTGCATTGCAGTTGCGATCAATGGATACTACAAAGCCAAGGTTATCTTCTCACTTTGCTAAAGATATTGCCACTTCTCTTCGACACTAATGATTTATCCAAATTTGATAATATTTCGTTTACTGTTTCGATTACTAATCTACCCCTCAATCAACGGAAAACTCCACCTCGATTTTTAACATCAACCTCGAAGTCCAAGGTCACTGTTCGCAATTGCACAGTATCCATACCTATAATTACTATACTAGAATCTCATCTTATCTACCTGACTATCCCCAGAATCTTTCCAACGGCTCTTCTATTAAAAGAAAAAATATGCTCACATGCTTGCTATTTAGTTTTAGCGATGTTACTTCCCAGCCACTTGAATTATCAATTATCACGGGAACAAATCAGAGAGAAGAAATCCCAGCCCTCTTCACGCGAAATTAAAAAAGATTGCTTCCCAGCCTCCATAAACAAATTGCATGAGGTATGTATAATATGATGCATCTCATTATTCCATGTAAGTCCCTCTAATCTCAGATATCAAACAATTGTTCTCGAGTCCATTCCTATATATTTACAAATTAATGCAACCATGCGTCTAAACACTTCGACTTCCAATCTTTTTGCGCTATCTACACTCTTTTTGCTATCATCAGGGCTACCAGTCGTTCAAAAAGACGTTATTTCGGTGGAACATGTAAAGAGGGCTACGTACTCCGTTGTTAATGTTGAGGGAGGTTCTTCAACTTCCGCAAGTAGTGGAAATGGGAAAGCAACTACTGTCATAGAAACAGTCACCAAAACCGAGGAGCCGGCAACAAAAACAGTAATCGAGACCGATTTAACTACAACTACAAATCACGTTGTCTCAACTCAGACTGTGAAAGGCTCTGGTGCAACTGAGACTACTTCAGTTACTGTTACACCATCTCCGACCACAGTCGTTAGCGTTAGTTATTCAGTTGTGGATATCTCTGCAGTGACTACTTCCAAAACTTCATCAAAAACTTCATCAAAAGAAGTCTCTACCTCTACAAGTTTCACTGCTTCGGTATTCTCATCGGGTTCATCAAGAACAGCAATTACTAGTTCGGCAACTATCATATCTAGTGCGTCAGAATCATCAAAGTCATCCGAGCTATTGACACAATCCACATCATCTTCCCAATCTGTATCCTCAATAACAGCCACGGCGTCAACTTCCACCACACAATTGACCGTATCGCCTTTGTCATCTAGCGTTTCTGAATCATCCACTGCAGTCGGATCTTCCTCATCGCTGTCCTCAATTGTCCCCAGCGTCACCAGCTTGATCACATCCGAAGCATCTAGTCCTATTCCAACTCTCGAATCACAGTCAAGCAAATTCACTGACGAAACTTCATTCATATCGATCCCCACAACTACTACGTCTTCCTCGTGGACTCCTTCATATACAGGAATACTATCGAGTTGGTCTGCTATTACAGCTTCCCCTTCAGCTACTACTACTTCCTATGATAGTGGGAATTCATTCACCAGCTATTCTTCTTGGAATTCCACGACTGCAATACCTATAAATTGAGCAAATTTTGTCTCGTTACATTGAATGCTCAACCACTCCTTAGTTTGGGAGGGATGCTGCTACATCGCCGAGGATATTTCTCTCAAGAGGAGAATTTCATATTGAAACCACGTTGCCTCCCTGGCATTCAGCGAGTGATGGAATGAGATGAGATCGCTGAGCTGAGAACCAAGTTTATGATTCAAACTATCAGTGCGGAAAATGTGCTTGGTTCTGTATTCATGTATACATCTTGGGTTGATAATATTTATATGGAGTTAAGGAATTATATGGCGCCAAGAGCTGGCAAGCCTTTTATATTATTGATGACACAAGGGACACGAGGAGACATGGTGGCATTGTATAAAATGTCGAAATTCTTAGATAATTGATAATGAAGATAATTAAGATCACTTATTCACATGTTAAAAGGTACTTTCTGTTGCTCTCTGAATGTAATAGAATTCTTTGAATGGGGATGATAAGTACAATATAGTGGTATATTTGACCAATAATAACGATCCATACTCCTAACCTTTTTATCATAAGCCAGAATTTACTACATCATCTTATCAAATCTGGAATTCCGCACAAAACTGGTGACGCTTTTCGGAAATCGGATAAACGCTTCATCCGTTAAAACATGATTGGACAAAAGCAATCCTTGTCAATCAATTGTACATTGGGAGGCTTATTAGCGTTCCTTCCCCCGGAAACTGGTCGTCACCAGTTAATCTTCGAATCCCATACGAATATCTGATATCTACATTAATCGCCCAACCATTCACGAATTATTATTTGCTTGAGCTACGAATAATCTCTGCTGCGCAAGCAACTGTACTTGAAAGTCTGCCATAATGGCTTCTCCACCTCAAGTCGTGGAGGATCAGGCACGACTCCTTGAAGATGCCTTGAATGTTGTTCGTCAACAAACACAACTTATGCGACGATGTTTAGAAAGTCCAGGGAAGCTTATGGATGCTTTGAAGTGCAGGTACGTCAATGAATTTGGGTTATTTGAAGCTGATCTATGTGGTTGCAATGATTATAATAAATGCGCCAGATGAAAATGGTCTTGTGCTGATTTGTCCCTTTCAAAACTTGTAGTTCAACACTTGTCTCCGAGCTTCGAACGAGCAGTTTAGGACCGAAGCAGTATTACGAGTTATACATGGCAGTATT